CGCTGCCACCCGCCCGCTGCCACCACCCGCCCAAATATATTTCAGATCTGTGGGAAACACTGTATTATGTAATATATTACTATTTTTTTAGTAACGACCCCATCTCTGCTAGTAGCGCTAGCTTTAGCTAACGTTAGCCAACGGAACGAACTGCCGAGTAAAATTGGAAAACACTGGTAATTAATTATTCTATAATTTGTAAAACTACGGTGTTAAAAAAATACAGATTCTAATGGTCAGATATAGATATACAGATACTAAAGATAGGCAGGTACTTGCTTTCAAGCAGAACACAGGGGAAAACAAACTTAGCGGGAGTGTTTACGTGTTAGGCGTAATGACATACAACGGCCTCGACAATTTCTGTAGTCCTATTCAGCCACTCGGTAACAACCATCATTTTTCAGACACGTAAACTCTTCAAAAATCACCAGTGGGGTCACTGCTGATGTATTTAATGTCGTAGAACAAAACGTGATTTATCTCTTAAATTTGTGTCAACCACAGACCTTATTTCGAGCTATTTTCCAAAACCCTATGGAGAAAATGCATTGCTTTTTGACGAAGGAACCGGAAGTGGTACAAATGCTAACTTACTTCCGGGTTTTACGATGCGTCACTGCAGTTCTCTATTGAGGGCTTTGTTTCTCTATTAATTGAAACATCATTGCTGTCCCAGAGTCCTAGATCACAGTCAAACCGCTTGTCTTGTCTCAAAAGAAGTCAACATATATTCATTTTATCGTCTAATATGAAAAAGAAAGCAGCAAATCTTCACACTCCAGACGCTAGTGCTAATTATTGCCGGAATAATGACTAAATAAATAATAATAAAAGAGGTTATTTTCATATCGTTTCAGCTTCTGTGGTATCCGTCTAAAACTTGAATTGGGTTATTTGTAATAAGAACATCTCCCTCCTTCGACCCCATCTCATTGTCTCACCTCTTCCTCCTTATTTTCATATTCTTAAACTCTGTACACTTTATCCGTTTTTCGACTGCTGCTCACTGACCGCGCCTTGTCTCTGTGCCCCCCCCCCCCTATTCTCATGTGTTTCTCCTCAGGCTCATCAGCAGTGCAGGAAGGCAGACCGTCTGCTGGTGGCTGGGAAGTATGAAGAGGCCATCACCTGCCATGAGAAAGCAGCAGGTAACACTAACACCACACTGACCCTTAAGTAAAAGTACAAAATTATTGGCATCAAAATATACTTAAAGTACCAAAAGTAAAAGTACTCCATATGACCCTTATCAGAACAGAATTGTATATTTACTGGGTTACGATTGTGATTATTGATGTGTTTTCATCACAACTGGTAAATGAAGAGCATATTTGAATAACTTAAAGGGGACCTATCATGCAACATGCACTGTTGAACGTCTTTTATACATGAATATTAGGGGTGTAACGGTTCACAAACATTTCGGTTCAGTACGTACCTCGGTTTTTTGGTCTCGGTTCGGTTCGTTTTCGGTACAGCAGAATTTTTTTTCACAAAACATATATATATATATTTTTTTTATTATTATTAAACTGTGAATAATGTATTCACTCAAATAAATACAAAATATAATAAAATAAACATTAAGGTGCAGCATTTCGATGAACTGAAACAATCTGTATTTGAACTGTACTGTACTAGCACCTAAGCAGCCAGTTTGACATTATGACTTGCTTGTCATTGTATTTTCATGTTTTTTAAAGAAAAATTAACTTGTCCACATTGCTTGCCGAAAGGGCAGATCTACTGGCACTAACAATGTCTCCTGCTGTGGAGAACACCCTCTCTAGGGATAGAGGTAGCAGATACAGCCAGGTAGCGCTTTGCTAACATGGCAACATAAGGATATTTGGCGTTTGTAATAGCGTTGGCTCGGTCTGATCTTGTTCGAGTGGTGGAGGCTTACATGCTAGCGGGAGTTGGGTTTGCACTTCAGTCTTTTTCTTTTGGTACCGGTGATATTCACGTTCGGGTGATGCCTTTTCAAGAGTGTGCAAGTTGAATGTATTACCAGCCGCGTAACCAATTTTAGTTGAACAATGCCGACAAACAGCTTTGGTTCGGTCCACCTGTCTTTGTCCGTCATCCTTGTACGTAACTGCGAAACCAAAATGTTCCCAAACCGGAGACTTCAATGATGCTGGAGGATTTTCAGCTCAACTTTATCTGCGTTCGCCATTAATTTTCGACAGTTCCTCAAATTACTGACTACATTTGAACGCATCCCTCTGACCAGCTCTCATGTATGCCTCTCATCCAATGAAATGACTTGCTCGCTCTATGACGCGTGGAACCCAATGTGAGCAAATTACTCTGAACGCTGCGACGCAGCACCTGAGATTACTTCCAATAAGTTGTTCACGTTCTCAATTTTTTACGTTTAACATTATATTCGTTCGGTACACTTCGGTACATACGTGTGTACCGAACCGAAGGGCCCGTACCGAATAATTTCGGTACGGGTACGTGTACCGTTACACCCCTAATGAATATGTGTCCCCGGTGTGTCAGGGAACTCACCAAGTGTCAGAAAATACAACCCTCTTTTCCTCCATACCCAAATCTCTAAAAACGGGGGCTTGCCAATGGATCTGATACAGACTGATCCAGATTTGAATATAGTCTGACGTCAGTGACGAGGAGCTCCGCCTATATGGGCAACTCTCCACCAATCAGGGGAATGAGAGGTTGCCGTGGCATGGTAACAGCATGGTAACATGACGCTCGTAACTCGGCCCCCTCCTTTGCAGGGGGCGTGGTCAGCTGCAGCACATGCAAAAAATAGAGCGAAATGAGGCATGGCTAAAAAGAAAACGTATAATATATACCTTATATAGGTATGGCCCTACAATATATTATTCAAATATAGCATGATAGGTCCACTTTAATATACTGCTGCTGGAAATCTCTTAACCCAGGGGGTCTGCAACCAATCAATGCCTGTACGTGTTTTGGACGTAATATGGTCTTTGTTTACATTAGCAAGCATCGCTAACACTCAGAGCTAACCTGTACTGGAGAGAGTATGTGTAAAGAAGCAGGATATGAAAAAGAACACACCTTGTGGTAAACCTTGAGAGAGAAAGCATTTGAGCTCCATGCTGTTTCAGAGCTAATCCTTGATGTGGTTTTGGCGTTTCATCCCCACAGCATTTATTTTAGAAAGTATCTGCTGGGTCCCTCATGAGCAGGCAGAAGCTCCGCTTATATACCCCGAATCAGCACTTTAGTAACAGGAAGTGAAATAGAGGGATATGAGGCATGGCTACAATGTGTGGTATTTTGAGCAAAACACTTCATAGACATGTTTTTTATACATTTTGATATATCTGAGACCTATGCTATTGCCTACAAATTGCATGATGGTGACCTTTAATATATGTCAAAATGTATTTAATAATTGATTTTGTAGTAGCTAATAATCTAAAACGGATCAATCAGGGCTAGGATACCGTTGTAGCTGCTCCGTCAAAGTAACGTCATAACGTGACATAAATAAAGTAGTGACTGCATGGTCATGCCATAGACAGTCTATGGTTTGTACACATACATTTAGAATAGATTTTCATCCTGTCTCTGAACAAACATAAATGTGCTATAGAAATAAAATGGATTGGATTGGAAACATGACATTTCACGTGACCTTGTCCTGTGAATTTCTTACTCAAGTTTCAACTCTTGCAAAAATAAGACGTGAATTTCTCATCACTCTTGCTTCTCACTCTTACTTCAAATCAAAGAGCATTTCTGACTGTCGTTGTTTCTAAAAACCAACGTCACCTCATTGTCTCCTCTGTCTCTGTCTCTCCCAGAACTTTTGACAGAAGCCATGAAGACAACTGAGTGTAAGCAGGTGAGATATACAGTGGGTGGGGTGGGGGGGGGACAAGTAGGTGGTACGTTCTCCATCATTTCGGCATTCATCTCAATGAGACTTAAGTATTGGTTAACACAGCCTTTAGTCAGGTCCTCTGCCTACATATTGATACATCAGTAATGATACAAACTACTTTAACCATTTGTAATGCTGTCATTTACTCAGTGTCCCATCATTAAAAACAATACTTGAGTAAATGTACACAGTTACTGAAGGGGGCAGCTGTAGTCTGAGCTGTGCTATTAGGATCGTCAATATGGACTGAGGGAGGGGGGCGTGGCTATGATCACATGATCAAAGCACTACTTAAGGTCTGGGAAAGAATAGAAGGTGCTTTCAATACAATCCAGTTGTGCATGGCACAATGGACACAACTAGTCCAACAAGTCAGGTGTTGTTCAAAGTACCGATGTAACACAGTATCTCACTTCCTGCCTCTGATGAGTTATCCAACCTTATTTTACAAGATTCATTCAAATGTTATTGTCATATGCACCGTAGCTACAGTGTCGTTATGGCAATGGAAATCTTAAGCCCCAGCATCCCACAACCTAACATATGTATACATAAATATATATAAGACTTTAGAATAAAACAATAAAAAATAGTGCAAGATGAAACGGCTTAAATATAATAGTGACTAATGTGCAGGTAATGCAGGAGCAGTAGACGTAAGTAAGATGAGCTAAAAATAGAATGTAAAATGAAATAATGTACAGGAATAAAATGCTGCTTGTTGTAGTAGTAAATGCACATGTGGAATCCAAACAGACGGAGGCTTTTAAGAGCCAGTGGAAAGAAATCAGTTTTGATTTATGTCCCTTGTGTTATTTCTGAACCCGATTGAGCGCAGGACCCTTTTCCTGTTTGTACTGATGGGTTCTGATAGGATTGAATCCATTCTACTCATCTTAATAACTTTATTTCTATAGCATCTGTCATGCAAGATGCAGCCCTGAGCAAGACAAGATAAGCAAAACAATAGCAATGAGTACAAATAAATAAAAAACAAAACAGAAAAGAGTTGGAACACAAAACAATAAAAGAATAAAACATGAACATTGGTCCCACTAAAATGACCCCGTGTGTGTGTGTGTGTGTGTGTGTTGGTGTGTGTGTGTGTGTGTGGTGTGTGTGTGTGTGTGGTGTGTGTGGTGTGTGTGTGTGTGTAGGCTCGTCTGTCCATGGAGCTGCAGAGGGACAGTCATATCAAACAGCAGCGACTCATCCAGGAGCGCTTGAAGAGAGAGACCCGTCGAGAGGCCACGAAGTCCCGCCTCGCTCAGGTGCAGCCCCCCCCCAGCAGCCCGGCCCTCCTCACCCAGACCCCGGGCCAGCTGCAGCCCAGCGGCCCCCCGGCTGCAGAGGGGGTCAGGGAGCGGGAGTACGACACCCTGCTCTACCAGCTCCAGACCCGGCAGACCGGGGGCTGCCAGCCTCTGACCACGCCGTGCCCCGGCACTAAGACCACCAAAGACGACAAGACCCGGCTGGAGGAGCAGCAGACCACCATCGAGGACCTGCGGCGCCTGGTGACCCGCCTGATGGACGACAACCAGCAGCTGCGCTCGGAGAACGCCCGGCTGCGCTCCGAGGCCACCGACGCAGACTTTGTGGAGTGCTCCGAGCTCTGGGGGAACTCACAGGCAGGGGGCGCTCTGGGGACAGGGGGGGAGCAGGTGAGGAGGAGCACGGGTGGGAAGGGGAAGGAGATCGCCATCCCCCAGCTGCCCCCCGCTGGAGATGCCCGCGCAGGAGGACCTGTGTCTGGACGACCTGCCCCCCTCTGGAGCTGCCCGAGGACATCCAGAACGAACTGAAGGATGCTGCTGGACAGGGACAAGCTGTGAACACCACACACACACACACACACACACACACACACACACACACACACACACACACACACACACACACACACACACACCACACACACACACACACACACACACACACCACACACACACAGGCACCAGGGTTGAGTTTGGATGCCAAAAATGTTTGTCATGTGACCCGGGGCTGTCACAGAGCTATAATGAAACCCCCATACTGTGTGCAGTAATAATGATGATGCAGGGGGGGGACTTGTGCGAGTGATTTTTTTATTTCATAGTCTGGAATTAAATAACTGATTATTTCAGGGCTCGAATGCTAAATGATAGTGCTTTTATCTATAAGATGATAATTAACATAATGTTTTGGGCTTTTGCAAATGTTGGCACGGTGGAAAACATCCCTCTAACTTCCTGTTGGGGGGATTTTGGCCAACACATGAATGCCAGCGGCTGTAGAGTTTGATTATATACAAATATCATTTTGTTGACATTAATTAAGTTAGTAAACATGAATTTACCAATAAGATAACGTTATTTAATTATTTTGTTGTTGGATTTTATTTTTTTAATTTGTGCTATCACAATATATTTTGTATTGCCCTTATTTCTTTTTGTTCTTGCACCAGAGCCTGAGATTCAGTTCCTTCTGTTTGCCTCTTTCAGAAAGAAATAAGAAAATGAATGTGGGATGTTAAAACACATCATTGCTTGAAACTTGATGAATAAAATCAACTGAGATTCTTTTTGAAATGTTCACATTTTTTCAATCCGACATGAAGTTCTCTAGTTTTCAATTCATGTTCTTCTAAGAATCCAGGAGACAATCATGGACTTTTGGCCGTGCAGTAAAACTCCTGCTTCACCAGCTGTGGAGCATTTCAGCTACTTCCTGTTCCTCAGTCCTCAGTTTGAGAGATGAAGCAGAACCAACACCTGATGTTACACTGAGAACTCCATGAGGGAGAGAGGAGAGCGACACATGTAGAATGTGTCTGAACTGCTCCTGAAGGGCATTATTGGACCACACACACACACACACACACACACACACACACAGATCTGTTCAGAGCATACTGCTGTTTCTGAGGAACAACTACATTTTTTATTTGAGTGTACTTGAATTAAAGGCTTCAATTATAATGTTTGTGTGTGATGTGAAGTTGTATGTCTTGGCTGCCAAAGAGAGTTGACTGATGTTCTTGTGCAACAATAGCAACAGAAGCTACTAAGAGGAGCAGAAGGTGTTTTCTAGCCTTTAGCCACACATCACTTTCCAACTGCTCCTGAGACGTTAGAATGAGCATCTCCCGGGACACACCCCAGCATCTGTAGAGACTGGAGGAGCTGAGACAACTCATTGACTAATGAATCATAAAATGTCATATTTAAGAGTGCTGATCTATTTTTTACAGCAAACATGAACTGGCTTCTGACTGTCTGTTTTACATCATTCAAGTGAATCATTGTGACATTTGAAGATGACATCTTGTGCTTTACAAATTTGAGATGAGCATTTCTTCTTTCAATTCTGATTTGAAGATAAACTGTTAATCAAATAATTGGATCTGGATTGGATGAATTGATTATGAAAATAAAGACACGCCCCAATGTGACAGTGCAGATTTGAGCTGCATCACATGCAGCGGTAACATCAGATATGGTGTGCTTACTTCCTGTTTATACCTATGGTAATGAAGAGAAAGGAAATGCAGCTCTCACAGCTTGCGTCATCTTTCAAACTCATGATGTTCAGGATGAAGGAAGCTGCTGCGGTTTCTCTAGGGATCATTTGTGTGCAGACAGAGGTTTGGAGATGTAATGAAGGGAAGAAGAGGACAGGAACAAGTGAGGCCTGTCCCTCTGCAGGAGAGCAAAGTGAACATTGTAATAAGCCAGAGATGGAGTACTCGAGTCCTGGACTCTGGATCTGGATTAATACTGAGCAGAACCCAGAGGTATCACGCTCAGTGGGGGATGGATGATCCCCGCTAAATGTCTCTTAAAATTTGCCGGAAGCACTCCACGGTTTCTGCGATGACAGCTTCTTCTGGTAGCAAGTTCCACTCTGATTGTTCTCGGAAAGAAGGAGTATTTAAGAGTGTCACTAGTTGCGAAAATTCGCTCGAAGTTCAAAGAGTTGGCTTTGCGGGTTGCACTTCTTCTAACTGGCTCTAGGTACATTGATGCATCATTGGCTGAGATGTTATGGACAATCTTGAAGAAGAGAACCAAACGAGCCAATCGCCACCTTTCACTTAATTCCACCCAGTTCAACCGCTTGAGCATTTCTGTGACACTGCTGTCCCATTCATAATCTCCAAAAATGAATCTTGCACCTCTTCTTTGTACTGATTCCAGCGCATCACTGTCTTTATCAGTGTAGGGGTCCCAGACCGAGCTGGCGTACTCTAGTTTAGAACGTACTAGGGCCACAAAAGCTGTCTCCTTCAGTTTCTGGGGACAGCGTCGCAGGTTCCGGCGTAGGAAGCCGAGCGAACGGTTTGCCTGTGTTACAATTTGGCCAATGTGTTGGCCAAATTTCAGGTTGTTATGGATTTCTACCCCAAGATAAGGCTGGTGGGTCACCTCTTTTAACACCTGGCCACATAGAGTATAGTTTTTAATGTGCGGGTTTGTTGATCTGCTTGTTCGTAGGATGTAGCACTTACTAGTATTAAAGCACATTCACGCTCACTCTCCCTGAAGGTAAATCTTTGTTTAAAACTGTGGGGAATTGGATATCATTCATGTTATCCAAAAAAATGTAATAGTACATCATTAAAACGCTTTACACTGTATCAAGATTGTCAATTTGTCAAAGTTAGCCAGTAACTACAGCTTTGTTTGTCACTTACCTTCATAATTGTCGACGTAGCTGGATATGTAGCTACATCTTGAACCCCTTTTCTCTTTTGCTCCTCGGGGCTGAGCCTGCCGCTTGTACCAGCCGATGTACATCACTGATGTTAACCTTCGGTAGGTCTTGGAGACATCGAGTGTAAAATAGTGCCTATAATATCTATACGCTATCTCTCTCGCTATCTATACTAGGGTGACCATATTTTGATTTCCAAAAAAGAGGACATGCTGCCCCCAGCCTCGAGATACTTAATGATACTCAACGTTCACTCAAAGATGCCTTATTGTTTTAAAGTATGCCTCCTCTGTATGGATATACAATTATTATTTATATTATTTTACTGTATATAACACAATAATATCTCTCTATAACCAAAGACACACCAAACCAAGGTTACTCAACAATCAACATGCTTTATTATGCCTACAATTATCTCTGACAAATCTCAAATGCACAAGAATAACTTAAACATCAACCTGTAACAAAATAATAGCTCTCTTTTCAAGTCTTACTGGACACAAATAAATAACAAAATATATGAAATAGTATAAAATAGAAAATTCAGCTTTAACAAATAATCTCTTTGTATCTTGTGAATGTAAACAATAAAACAGTAACCTCACAAAGATACTAATCTAATTATTTTAAAAGTGCACTATGCAGTTTTGGATTTCACATTTGCATAATTTCCATTAGTGAACATAACATAACATTTGATTATCTAAATCAAACACATTTTGAGGCACCATGAACCAAATATAAGCCTACTTTAAATGTTTGTAAACACAATTCCAGGCCCTGTCATTGTAAACAACCAGTGAAACCACAACTTTTCACATATTTCTAGCTTCAAACCGTTTTCTAGGGTCCCAATTTAAAATGAAAAGTTTAAAGTTTCTCTCCCACAGCTACATAGCTTTCTCTCTCTGCATAGCTGCATACTTCAATCTTCTTCATCCTGCTTTTCTTCTTCATCCTCCTTGTCTGCCCATCGATATTTAGCTGTGGAGCTGATCTTTCCCAGCAGTTTTCGGTTGCTCAACAAATAAGCATGAAAGTCTTTGCAAGACATGTCTTTCAAATGGTATTGCACACATAGAATCCCCTTCAGTGACTCAACAGACAGCTGGTTCCTCTCCTTGGTCCACTGGCTCTGCATCAGTGAGAAAACCCTCTCAACATTTGCATTGTGAGAGGAAAGTGCAAAGACAAACTGTGCAATCTTCAGTAGTTCTGAGTAACATGCAATGCTTCTGGTCCACTTCTGGAGCACCTGCAGGCCACTGAACTCCTCATCACTACCTTTCTGTGAATCTCTTCAGATTGGTGACCTGGTCAAAACACTTGACATCATCAATTACCACCCCCTTCTCTCCTAGGAACTTGATGCAGGCCTCCACATCATTCCACTCTGGTGGCTCACTCAGATCCATCCACGTGAATGTGGAGAACTCTTCCATGGGAGTCATCCACTTCTCCAGATACTCCAGACATGTACTGTACAGGCCTTGCACATCAGCACAGAACTGGTCATATTCCTTACCAAGTCCATCACTACGCTTTTGTGCCAGTAGTCCCTTAACTTTAAGGGACATGAAGTTGTTGCTCTTGCGTTGAAGAAGAATGGTGTGGATGCTGTTCATTATTTTCTTTACCTCCATAATGGAGTTCTTCTCCTTTTCCATGGCTTGAATGTGGGTGTGGAACGCAGACATGAGTGAGTGCATGTGCCAGAGGTAGATCTCACTGAATTCGTTTTCAAAAAACTTCTTGATCACTATGGGTGGTTTTTGCTGAGACAGAAATAATGCCTTTAAGGCTGGAAACATCTGTATCATCCTCTCAATGCCTGGGAACAATGACAGCCACCTTGTCTTGCTGTGAGAAAGCATCCTTCTGTATTCAATGTCAACAAAATCACAGTACTCCTTCAGGCTCTCAGTGCGCACAGTGTAAATGTGGAAGTACTGGTAGATTTTGAACATGATATTCTCAAGGTCAATATCTATTGTGTCTGCCCCATGATGAACACAATTATTCAATATGTGTGCTGGGCAACCCACACCGATCAGAGTGTTCTTCTGCAGCAACCTCTTCAAATTTGCAAACACATTCTTTCCCCCTTCATCACGTCGGATTCCTCCAAAGTTTGTGT